CTGCTAGTAGGAAGAGGACTCCCCCCGCCCCAGCGGCTCTGTGCTTGCTGACCGGGTCGCTGTCGCCCAGCCGCGTGCATCGCGTGCCCAGCACGCAGAGCAGCGCCCCGCACGCACCCAGCAGCAGGGCGCACACCATGAGGGCACGCGCAGCCTGTAGGGTGCCTACACACACACAGACACACACACACACAGACACACACACACACACAGTGATACACACACACAGACATAAACACACACACAGACACACACACACACACACAGACTAACACACACAGACACACACACAGACATAAACACACACACAGACACACACACACACAGACTAACACACACAGACACACACACAGACACATAGACACACACACACACACAGACACACACACATAGACACACACACATAGACACACACATAGACACATAGACACACACATAGACACACACATAGACACACACACTGACACACACAACAACAACCGCCATTCGCCACTAAGTGGGGTGACGTCACCACGACGCTTGTGCCAGGCTATGTGCACCCTGAGGCCACGTGAAGTGTCGAACGCCCGCTGGCAGGAGGTCACGGGGCAGACCCAGCAGGTGCCACGGGTCGACTGACTGAGATGACTGGCTGATGCACCACCTGTGCCCCCTACTGTGCCAACCTGCTGTGCTTTAGCCACCCGGCGCTCCGCTCGTTGTTGTGAGCGTCGCTCCTCCGTCCTCCGTTGTTGTTGGAGGGCGACTGCCTCCAACTGCCCAGTAGCATCCTTCACGAGCCTCCTCCACAGAGGCCGATCTTGACACCGCTGGTACCAGTCATCGGCAAGTCCACTCAGCTCCACGTCCTCCTGTACCACATCACTCCATCTCTTCTCTAGCCCGTGCCGCGCCCGCTTAGCCCCCTCGATCCGGCCAAACAAAAGCTGTTTCGGCATGCGGTGGCTGGGCATGCGGGCTACATGACCCAGCCATCGCAGCCTTGCCTGCCGGAGGAGCTCACCGATGGGACCCTGCCCAGATCTTTCAAGGATTTGTGAGCTCCTCACACAATCCAATCTGGTTAAACCCAGGATGGATCGTAGGCAGGCCAGCCTAAATGTTTCTAACCGGCGAAGATGTTCCATTAGGGGGGTCCACGTTTCGCAAGCGTAAAGAAGGGAGGGAATGACCGTGGCCGAGAAGACCTGAAGCTTAGTGCGGAGCAACAGACCAGGTAGCTTCCACACAGCGTTACGCAACCGATGAAAAGATATTGCCGCTCGACTGATTCGGAGTGAGACCTCTGCTGTTAAACTGGAGCCGGTCATGAGCACACTGCCCAGGTATGGGAAACTCTCCACTCTCTCCACAACTGCCCCATCACCGATTGGGAGTTGTGGGGGTGGAGTGTCCGATGGTACAAAATACCCAGGCAGGTGCTTAGTTTTGGTGTGGCTGATGGTAAGGCCCCACCTCTTAGTGGCACGCTCCAGTCTCAGCAGCAGCGTCTCCAACTCCTCCTCTGACTGAGCGGCTATTACCAAATCATCGGCATTCATAACGTGGTTGAGCAAAAGGGAGCCATCCCTTGACCGCACCCGGGCATCGATCAGCCTCCCATTATATCTGTGTAGTGTGCTCCGGAGACACTTGTAGGGGGCACGTCTTCATTACACACACACACACAACCTAACTACTGTACACCAACTTCTCGTACAGTCTATCCCGTGTATTTCTTCCACCCAGCCTATCATACGCCGCCTACGTAGCGTGCCTACCCCGGCCACGCTCCAGTGCCTCCGGCTACGACATCCTCTTAGTCGGCTGTCTGAGCTGACCCAGCCAAGGTACAGGTCCACCCACCCACTGATTCCTCAGACCCGGCCCTCACCAACTCACCCACCAACTCACCCACCCACCCATCAACTCACCCACCTACCCATCAACTCACCCACCCACCAACTCACCCACCCACCAAATCACCCACCAACTCACTCACCCACCCACCAACTCACCCACCCACCAACTCACCCACCCAAAAAACTCACCCACCCACCAACTCACCCACCCACCAACTCACCCACCCACCAACTCACCCACCCCTTCACTCACCCACCCACCCACCAACTCACCCACCCATCAACTCACCCACCTACCCACCAACTCACCCACCCACCAACTCACCCACCCACCAAATCACCCACCAACTCACCCACCCACCCACCAACTCACCTTCCCACCCACCAACTCACCTACCCACCCACCAACTCACCTACCCACTCACCAACTCACCCACCCACCAACTCACCTTCACTCACCCACCCACCCACCAACTCACCCACCCACCCATTCACTCACCCACCCACCAACTCACCCACTCACCCACCCACCAACTCACCCACCCACCAACCCACCAACTCACCCACCCACCCACCCACCAAGGCGAGTCCCAGCGTCCACCACTGGGTGTGGCTAGAGGGGCGAAGTTTTGGGTCCAGGGTCCTACACTAGCAGGCCTTCAGGCTTCGGTCTTCAAGTGCCACGAAACCTCTCCAGAGGTCCGCCTTATATACGGTTCCTCAGCCGAGCGGCGGGGCTCTGAGGGATCGTAGAGCACCACACAGCCCCCAAACGCTCCTGGGCTGTCTGCCGTTGCCTGCAACCTTCATCAGCTAGCTGATTCAAGTGGCGTCCTGGGTGGACACCCACCACCGGAGTGGAAGAATGGCAGGCGCATCTTACAGATGGCAAGTCGATGGTCAGTGGGCACATCAGCTAACACGGTAGGTCCTGGTGTCAAGGACATGGGCCCGCATCCGCTGGTCCGTCACTATGTAGTCCAGCAGATGTTCTTGCTTGGACCCGGCACGCATCCATGATGTTGTGTGGATGCGCCGATGCCGGAACAGCGTGTTGGTAATTACAAGCCCATGGGCTGCACAAAAAATCTAGCAGCCTCCTACCGTTGTTATTGAGCTGATCTGGCCCATGCCCTCCAATCACTCCAGACCAGGTGCCAGCATAATGACCAACTCGGGCATTGAAGTCACCCAACATGATGACTCTATCCCGAGGGGCCACTTTAGCCAGCACCTGTGACAGGAGGTCATAGAAGGCATCTGACTCATCGGCTTTGCCTGCATCCCTCCACGGATGTTCGTCTTCGGTGGGGGCATAAGTAACCACGACCACCATTCCTCGCCTCCGGTTGATGGGAAGGCGAGCCCAAAGTAGCCTGGGGCTTACAGCTTCCCACACCTCACCGCCACGCTCCCACGCCCCCTTCATTATTTTGTTCAAAAGAAGAGCCACTCCCTGTTGTTTGGCAGTCTGCTGCCCCGAGTAGAGGACTGTCCACCCCTCATGGTGGCAGGAGCCAGAGCCGGTCCACCGGACCTCCTGAATGCCACAGAGATCCAGGCGGGTACCGGTCCAGCTCCCGACAGAGGAGTGGCAGCCTCTCCTCCGCAGTGAGCGTTCGAACATTCCACGTGGCCACACGAAGTGGCTTTTCGTTGTTTCTGGAGGAGCCCCGAGGGACGTCATAGACGCCTGGCCCCCCGGGGCCTCCGGCACAAGCTGATTTATTACATTTGTCCCTCCGCTCCCTAGCTCCTCCCCCTAGCACTGTAGTCCCTCCCCTTAGCCCCACCCCTAGCCCCTCCCCCACCCCCTAGCCCCTCCGCCTACTCCCTAGCTCCCCACCCCTAGCCCCTCCCCCACTCCCTAGCTCCTCCCCCTAGCCCCACCCCTAGCCCCTCCCCCACTCCCTAGCTCCCCACCCCTAGCCCCTCCCCCACTCCCTAGCTCCTCCCCCTAGCCCCACCCCTAGCCCCACCCCCACCCCCTAGCTCCTCCCCCTAGCCCCACCCACCGTCTATGGAGAAGAGCGAGTCATAGAGGCGGCACTGCACGTGCCCCTCCAGCCCCTCCCCCACCCCCTAGCCCCACCCCCACCACCTAGCTCCTCCCCCACCCCCTAGCCCCACCCACCGTCGATGGAGAAGAGCGAGTCATAGAGGCGGCACTGCACGTGTCCCTCCAGCCCCTCCCCCACCACCTAGCTCCTCCCCCACCCCCTAGCTCCTCCCCCTAGCCCCACCCACCGTCGATGGAGAAGAGCGAGTCATAGAGGCGGCACTGCACGTGCCCCTCCAGCTCCTCCCCCACCACCTAGCTCCTCCCCCACCACCTAGCTCCTCCCCCACCCCCTAGCCCCACCCACCGTCGATGGAGAAGAGCGAGTCATAGAGGCGGCACTGCACGTGCCCCTCCAGCTCCTCCCCCACCACCTAGCTCCTCCCCCACCCCCTAGCTCCTCCCCCACCCCCTAGCCCCACCCACCGTCGATGGAGAAGAGCGAGTCATAGAGGCGACACTGCACGTGTCCCTCCAGCCCCTCCCCCACCCCCTAGCCCCACCCCCACCACCTAGCTCCTCCCCCACCACCTAGCCCCACCCCCACCACCTAGCTCCTCCCCCACCCCCTAGCCCCACCCACCGTCGATGGAGAAGAGCGAGTCATAGAGGCGGCACTGCACGTGCCCCTCCAGCTCCTCCCCCACCACCTAGCTCCTCCCCCACCCCCTAGCTCCTCCCCCACCCCCTAGCCCCACCCACCGTCGATGGAGAAGAGCGAGTCATAGAGGCGACACTGCACGTGCCCCTCCAGCCCCTCCCCCACCACCTAGCCCCTCCCCCACCCCCTAGCTCCTCCCCCACCCCCTAGCCCCACCCACCGTCTATGGAGAAGAGCGAGTCATAGAGGCGGCACTGCACGTGCGCTCCAGCTCCTCCCCCACCCCTAGCTCCTCCCCCACCCCCTAGCCCCACCCACCGTCGATGGAGAAGAGCGAGTCATAGAGGCGACACTGCACGTGCCCCTCCAGCCCCTCCCCCACCACCTAGCTCCTCCCCCTAGCCCCACCCACCGTCTATGGAGAAGAGCGAGTCATACAGGCGGCACTGCACGTGCCCCTCCAGCCCCTCCCCCACCCCCTAGCTACTCCCCCTAGCCCCACCCACCGTCTATGGAGAAGAGCGAGTCATAGAGGCGACACTGCACGTGCCCCTCCAGCCCCTCCCCCACCCCCTAGCTCCTCCCCCACCACCTAGCCCCACCCCCACCACCTAGCTCCACCCCCACCCCCTAGCCCCACCCACCGTCGATGGAGAAGAGCGAGTCATAGAGGCGACACTGCACGTGTCCCTCCAGCCCCTCCCCCACCCCCTAGCTCCTCCCCCTAGCCCCACCACCTAGCTCCTCCCCCACCCCTAGCTCCTCCCCCACCCCCTAGCCCCACCCACCGTCGATGGAGAAGAGCGAGTCATAGAGGCGGCACTGCACGTGTCCCGTGCTCTGCGCGGCGCACGACATCCAGAGTCCGTCGTAGAGCGCCACGGCCGTGATGATGGCGTCCCCGGCGTAGGAGCTGTAGCGCCACTGGGGCAGCGCCGTCGTGCCCACCACGGCTGCCCAGCCACACAGCGCCAGCGCAAAGCCCAGCAGCTGCAGGCCGCCCGTGTGGGACATGGCCTGGTGGGTGGGTGGGTGAGTGGGTGAGTGGGTGGGTGGGTGGGTGAGTGGGTGAATTGGTGGGTGGGTGAGTGAGTTGGTGGGTGAGTGAGTGAGTGGGTGAGTGGGTGGGTGAGTGAGTGGGTGAGTGGGTGGGTGGGTGAGTGGGTGAGTTGGTGGGTGAGTGGGTGAGTGGGTGAGTGGGTGGGTGAGTTGGTGGGTTAGTGAGTTGGTGGGTTGGTGGGTGAGTGAGTGGGTGAATAGTGGCTGAGTTGGTGGGTGAGTGAGTGAGAGAGTGGGTGGGTGGGTGAGTTGGTGGGTGAGTGAGTGGGTGGGTGAGTGAGTGAGTGGGTGAGTGGGTGGGTGGGTGAGTGGGTGGGTGAGTGGGTGGGTGAGTTGGTGGGTGAGTTGGTGGGTGGGTGGGTGAGTGGGTGGGTGGGTGAGTTGGTGGGTGAGTTGGTGGGTGGGTGGGTGGGTGAGTTGGTGGGTGAGTGGGTGAGTTGGTGGGTGGGTGGGTGGGTGAGTGGGTGGGTGAGTGGGTGGGTGAGTGAGTGAGTGGGTGAGTGAGTGGGTGAGTGGGTGGGTGGGTGAGTGGGTGAGTGGGTGGGTGAGTGAGTGGGTGGGTAAGTGGGTGGGTGGGTAAGTGAGTGGGTGAGTAGTGGCTGAGTTGGTGGGTGAGTGGGTGGGTGAGTTGGTGGGTGGGTGAGTTGGTGGGTTGGTGGGTTGGTGGGTTGGTGGGTGGGTGGGTGAGTGGGTGAGTTGGTGGGTGGGTGGGTGGGCGAGTGAGTGGGTGGGTGGGTGGGTGAGTTGGTGGGTGAGTGGGTGAGTGAGTGGGTGAGTGAGTGGGTGAGTTGGTGGGTGGGTGAGTTGGTGGGTGGGTGGGTGAGTTGGTGGGTGGGTGGGTGAGTGGGTGAGTGGGTGGGTGGGTGAGTGGGTGGGTGGGTGGGTGAGTGGGTGGGTGAGTGGGTGAGTGAGTGGGTGGGTGGGTGAGTGGGTGAGTTGGTGGGTGGGTGGGTGAGTTGGTGGGTGGGTGGGTGAGTTGGTGGGTGGGTGGGTGGGTGAGTTGGTGGGTGGGTGAGTTGGTGGGTTGGTTGGTGGGTGAGTTGGTGGGTGGGTGAGTTGGTGGGTGGGTGAGTGAGTGAGTGGGTGAGTGAGTGAGTGGGTGAGTGAGTGAGTGGGTAAGTGAGTGGATGAGTGAGTGAGTGGGTGAGTAGTAGCTGAGTCGGTGGGTGAGTGAGAGGGTGAGTAGTGGGTGAGTGGGTGAGTGGGTGGGTGGGTGGGTGAGTTGGTGCGTGGGTGGGTGAGTTGGTGGGTTGGTGGGTTGGTGGGTGGGTGAGTTGGTGGGTGGGTGGGTGAGTGAGTGGGTGGGTGAGTGGTGGGTGGGTGGGTGAGTGGGTGGGTGGGTGGGTGAGTGGGTGAGTGAGTAGGTGAGTAGTGGCTGAGTTGGTGGGTGAGTGAGTGAGAGGGTGAGTAGTGGGTGAGTTGGTGGATGGGTGAGTTGATGGGTGGATGGGTGAGTTGGTGGGTGGGTGAGTTGGTGGGTGAGTTGGTGGGTGAGTTGGTGGGTGAGTTGGTGGGTGGGTGGGTGGGTGGGTTGGTGGGTTGGTGGGTGGGTCAGTTGGTGGGTGGGTGAGTTGGTGGGTGAGTTGGTGGGTGAGTTGGTGGGTGAGTTGGTGGATGGGTGGGTGAATTGGTGGGTGAGTTGGTGGGTGGGCGAGTTGGTGGGTGGGTGGGTGAGTGGGTGAGTTGGTGGGTGGGTGAGTTGGTGAGTGATTTGGTGGGTGGTTGAGTTGGTGGGTGGGTGAGTTGATGGGTGGGTAGGTGAGTTGATGGGTGGGTGAGTTGGTGGGTGGGTGAGTTGATGGGTGGGTGGGTGTGTGGGTGGGTGAGTTGGTGGGTGGGTGGGTGAGTGGGTGGGTGAGTTGGTGGGTGGGTGAGTTGGTGAGTGATTTGGTGGGTGGTTGAGTTGGTGGGTGGGTGAGTTGATGGGTGGGTAGGTGAGTTGATGGGTGGGTGAGTTGGTGGGTGGGTGAGTTGATGGGTGGGTGAGTGTGTGGGTGGGTAAGTTGGTGGGTTGGTGGGTGATTTGGTGGGTGGGTGAGTTGGTGGGTGGGTGAGTTGATGGATGGGTGGGTGAGTGAGTGGGTGGGTGAGTGAGTGGGTGGGTGAGTGGGTGAGTGGGTGAGTGGGTGAGTGGGTGGGTGAGTGAGTGGGTGGGTGGGTGAGTGGGTGGGTGGGTGGGTGAGTGGGTGGGTGAGTGGGTGGGTGGGTGAGTGGGTGGGTGGGTGGGTGAGTGGGTGGGTGGGTGAGTGAGTGGGTGAGTGAGTGAGTGGGTGGGTGAGTGGGTGAGTGAGTTGGTGAGTGGGTGGGTGGGTGGGTGAGTGGGTGGGTGGGTGAGTGGGTGAGTGAGTGAGTGGGTGAGTAGTGGCTGAGTTGGTGGGTGAGTGAGAGGGTAAGTAGTGGGTGAGTGGGTGGGTGGGTGAGTTGGTGCGTGGGTGAGTTGGTGGGTTGGTGGGTTGGTGGGTGGGTGGGTGAGTTGGTGGGTGGGTGGGTGGGTGAGTGGGTGGGTGGGTGATTGGGTGGGTGGGTGGGTGAGTGGGTGAGTGAGTGGGTGAGTAGTGGCTGAGTTGGTGGGTGAGTGAGTGAGAGGGTGAGTAGTGGGTGAGTTGGTGGGTGGGTGAGTTGATGGGTGGATGGGTGAGTTGGTGGGTTGGTGGGTGGGTAAGTTGGTGGGTGAGTTGGTGGGTGAGTTGGTGGGTGAGTTGGTGGGTGGGTGGGTGAGTTGGTGGGTTGGTGGGTGGGTGAGTTGGTGGGTTGGTGGGTGGGTGAGTTGGTGGGTGTGTTGGTGGGTGAGTTGGTGGGTGAGTTGGTGGGTGGGTGAGTTGGTGGGTGGGCGAGTTGGTGGGTGGGTGAGTGGGTGGGTGAGTTGGTGGGTGAGTTGGTGAGTGATTTGGTGGGTGGGTGAGTTGATGGGTGGGTGGGTGAGTTGATGGGTGGGTGAGTTGGTGGGTGGGTGAGTTGATGGGTGGGTGAGTGTGTGGGTGGGTAAGTTGGTGGGTTGGTGGGTGATTTGGTGGGTGGGTGAGTTGGTGGGTGGGTGAGTTGATGGATGGGTGGGTGAGTTGATGGATGGGTGGGTGAGTTGATGGGTGGGTGGGTGAGTTGATGGGTGGGTGGGTGAGTTGGTGGGTGGGTGAGTTGGTGGGTGGGTGGGTGAGTGTATGGGTGAGTGGCTGAGTGGATGGGTGGGTGGCTGAGTGGATGGGTCAGCGAGTGGCTGAGGGAATGATGGGTGGCAGAGTGAATGGGTGAGTGGTTTGTGTTTCAGTGAACGGGTTAGTTGTTTAGTGTGGAAGGGTATGGGTAGATGGATGAGTGGGTGGGTGGATGAGTGGGTGGGTGGATGAGTGGGTGGGTGGATGAGTGGGTGGGTGGATGAGTGGGTTTATGAATCGGTGATGGATGGTGATGGTGGCTAATGGAGGATGGAATGGGCCAGTGGATGAGTGGGTCAGTCTGTGGGTGGTTGAATGAGTCGGAGTGTGTGTGGTTGGGTGGGTGGGTAGGTGAGTGGGTGGGTGGGTGGGTAGGTGAGTGGGTGGTTGAATAGGTAGGTGAGTGGGTGGGTGGGTAGGCGAGTGGGTAGGTGAGTGGGTAGGTGAGTGGGTGGGTAGGTGAGTGGGTAGGTGAGTGAGTGGGTAGGTGAGTGGGTGGGTGGGTGAGTGGGTACGTGAGTGGGTGGGTGGGGAGGTGATTGGGTGGTTGAATGGGTAGGTGGGTGGGTGAGTGGGTAGGTGAGTGGGTGGGTATGTGAGTGGGTAGGTGAGTGGGTGAGTGGGTGGGTAGGTGAGTGGGTGGGTAGGTGGGTGGGTGAGTGGGTGGGTAGGTGAGTGGGTGGGTGAGTGGGTAGGTGAGTGGGTGAGTGGGTAGGTGAGTGGGTAGGTGAGTGGGTGGGTGGTTGAGTGGGTGGGTGGTTGAGTGGGTGGGTGGTTGAGTGGGTGAGTGGGTGGGTGGGTGAGTGGGTGGGTGGTTGAGTGGGTGAGTGGGTGGGTGAGTGCGTGGGTAATCAAAGCGACGTTATCAATAATCGCCGAGTCAAAATACCGGATTATAAGACGCACCCACTCTCACACACAGACACCGGCGTATAAGACGCACCCAATCACCTACCAGAGCATAAGACGCACCCTATCACCAACCGCAGTATAAGACGCAGCCACTCACATACCGGAGTATAAGACGCACCCACTCACCTACCGGAGTATAAGACGCACCTACTCACCAACCGGAGTATAAGACGCACCCACTCACCAACCGGTGTATAAGACACACCCACTCACCAACCGGAGTATAACACGCACCCACTCACCTACCGGAGTATAAGACGCACCCAATCACCTACCGGAGTATAAGAAGCACCCACTCACATACCGGAGTATTAGACGCACCTGCTCACCTCCCGTTTTATAAGACAGATCCACTCACCTACCGGAGTTTAAGACGCATCCAATCACCTACGGGAGTATAAGACGCACTCACTCGCATACCGGAGTATAAGACGCACCCAATCACCTACCGGAGTATAAAACGCACCCACTCACCTACCGGAGTATAAGACGCACCCACTCACCTACGGGAGTATAAGACGCACCCTCTCACGTACCGGAGTATAAGACTCACCCACTCACCTACCGGAGTATAAGACGCACCCACTCACTCTCTTACACACAGACACCGGAGTATAAGACGCACCCAATCACCTACCGGAGTATAAAACGCACCCACTCACCTACCGGAGTATAAGACGCACCCACTCACTCTCTTACACACAGACACCGGAGTATAAGACGCACCCACTCACCTACCGGAGTATAAGACGCACCCCCTCACCTACCGCAGTATAAGACGCACCCACTCAACTACAGGAGTATAAGACGCACCCCCTCACCTACAGGAGTATAAGACGCACCCCCTCACCTACCGGAGTATAAGACGCACCCCCTCACCTATAGGAGTATAAGACGCACCCCCTCACCTACCCGAGTATAAGACGCACCCACTCACCTACCGGAGTATAAGACGCACCCACTCACCTACCGGAGTATAAGACGCACCCAATCACCTACCGGAGTATAAGAAGCACCCACTCACTCTCTCACACACAGACACCGGAGTATAAGACGCACCCACTCACCTACCGGAGTATAAGACGCACCCCCTCACCTACCGGAGTATAAGACGCACCCACTCACCTACCGGAGTATAAGAAGCACCCAATCACCTACCGGAGTATAAGACGCACCCACTCACATACCGGAGTATAAGAAGCACCCACTCACTCTCTCACACACAGACACCGGAGTATAAGACGCACCCACTCACCTACCGGAGTATAAGACGCACCCCTCACCTACCGGAGTATAAGACGCACCCACTCACCTACCGGAGTATAAGAAGCACCCAATCACCTACCGGAGTATAAGACGCACCCACTCACATACCGGAGTATAAGACGCACTCCCTCACCTACCGGAGTATAAGACGCACCCACTCACCTACCGGAGTATAAGACGCACCCACTCACCTACAGGAGTATAAGACGCACCCCCTCACCTACAGGAGTATAAGACGCACCCCCTCACCTACCGGAGTATAAGACGCACCCCCTCACCTACAGGAGTATAAGACGCACCCCCTCACCTACCGGAGTATAAGACGCACCCACTCGCATACCGGAGTATAAGACGCACCCCCTCACCTACCGGAGTATAAGACGCACCCACTCACCTACCGGAGTATAAGAAGCACCCGCTCACCTACCGGAGTATAAGACGCACCCCCTCACCTACCGGAGTATAAGACGCACCCACTCGCATACCGGAGTATAAGACGCACCCACTCGCATACCGGAGTATAAGACGCACCCAATCACCTACCGGAGTATAAGACGCACCCCCTCACCTACCGGAGTATAAGACGCACCCCCTCACCTACCGGAGTATAAGACGCACCCACTCGCATACCGGAGTATAAGACGCACCCCCTCACCTACAGGAGCTCGTGAGTTTCTCAAGGACGCTGCTTTGCTGCCCGCACGAGAAGTGAGAGAATCCAGCCCGGACCTCCACCTTAAACGCCTCACGCTGACCACGCCCACGTCATTTACATGCCCCGCCCACTCGGACACCGGCCACGCCTAGTTTATTTTTAATTGCTCCCCGCCCACTCGGACACAGGCCACGCCCAGGTCATTAGCATATCTCCCGCCCGTTCGACCACGCCCAGGTCGTTTGCATGCCCCCTGCCCACTCGCCACAGGCCACGCCTTGGTCATTTGCATGCCCCCGCCCACATCCAACTCATTTGCATTTACCACACACAGGCCACGCCTACCCCCCGTAGAGTAACGTTGATCCCAAGCCACGCCCATCAGTTTCAGGCGACACGCCCACTTTGCCACAGACCACTCCTTGTACACAGAGGTCCAAATATGAGCACGGTTGGCTCCGTACGGTGCGAAAGAAGTTCAATGTCACAGTACAGTCACGTGCCGGTGACGTCACCACGGCGCTTGTACCAGGCTAGGTGCACTCCGTGGCCACGTGATGTGTCGGAAACTCGCTGCTGGCAGGAGGTCACGTGACAGACCCAGCAGGTGCCATGGGTTGTACTGCTGTGCCAGGCTAGGTGCACGAGGAGGAGGTCACGTGACAGACCCTGCAGGTGCCATGGGTTGACTGCTGTGCCAGGCTAGGTGCATGAGGAGGTCACGTGACAGACCTAGCAGGTGCCATGGGTTGTACTGCTGTGCCAGGCTAGGTGCACGAGGAAGAGGTCACGTGACAGACCCTGCAGGTGCCACGGGTTGACTGAGACGAGTGGCTGATGCACCACCACCTGTGCCAGGCTAGGTGCACCACCTGTGCCCCCTACTGTGCCAGGCTAGGTGCACCACCTGTGCCCCCTACTGTGCCAGGCTAGGTGCACCACCTGTGCCCACTACTGTGCCAGGCTAGGTGCACCACCTGTGCCCCCTACTGTGCCAACCTGCTGTGCTTTAGCCACCCGGCGCTCCGCTCGTTGTTGTGAGCGTCGCTCCTCCGCCCTCCGTTGTTGTTGGAGGGCGACTGCCTCCAACTGCCCAGTAGCCTCAAGGTGCACCTAGCCTGGCACTGTCCAGTAGCCTCCTCAAGGTGCACCTAGCCTGGCACCGCCCCCAGTAGCCTCAAGGTGCACCTAACCTGGCACCGCCCCCAGTAGCCTCAAGGTGCACCTAGCCTGGCACCGCCCCAGTAGCCTCAAGGTGCACCTAGCCTGGCACTGACCCCAGTAACCTCAAGGTGCACCTAGCCTGGCACTGTCCAGTAGCCTCAAGGTGCACCTAGCCTGGCACTGCCCAGTAGCCTCAAGGTGCACCTAGCCTGGCACTGTCCAGTAACCTCAAGGTGCACCTAGCCTGGCACCGCCCCCAGTCGCCTCAAGGTGCACCTAGCCTGGCACTGCCCAGTAGCCTCAAGGTGCACCTAGCCTGGCACCAGTAACCTCAAGGTGCACCTAGCCTGGCACTGCCCCCAGTAGCCTCAAGGTGCACCTAGCCTGGCACTGCCCAGTAACCTCAAGGTGCACCTAGCCTGGCACTGCCCAGTAGCCTCAAGGTGCACCTAGCCTGGCACCGCCAGTTAGCCTCAAGGTGCACCTAGCCTGGCACCGCCCCCAGTAGCCTCAAGGTGCACCTAGCCTGGCACTGTCCCCAGTAGCCTCAAGGTGCACCTAGCCTGGCACCGCCCCCAGTCGCCTCAAGGTGCACCTAGCCTGGCACTGCCCCCAGTAGTCTCAAGGTGCACCTAGCCTGGCACTGCCCCCAGTCACCTCAAGGTGCATCTAGCCTGGCACTGTCCAATAGCCTCAAGGTGCACCTAGCCTGGCACCGCCCCAGTAGCCTCAAGGTGCACCTAGCCTGGCACCGCCCAGTAGCCTCAAGGTGCACCTAGCCTGGCACTGCCCCCAGTCACCTCAAGGTGCACCTAGCCTGGCACCGCCCCAGTAGCCTCAAGGTGCACCTAGCCTGGCACTGCCCCAGTAACCTCAAGGTGCACCTAGCCTGGCACCGCCCCCAGTAGCCTCAAGGTGCACCTAGCCTGGCACTGACCAGTAACCTCAAGGTGCACCTAGCCTGGCACTGGTCTCAGTAGCCTCAAGGTGCACCTAGCCTGGCACTGTCCCAGTAGTCTCAAGGTGCACCTAGCCTGGCACCGCCCCCAGTAACCTCAAGGTGCACCTAGCCTGGCACCGCCCCCAGTAGCCTCAAGGTGCACCTAGCCTGGCACTGCCCAGTAGCCTCAAGGTGCACCTAGCCTGGCACTGCCCCAGTAACCTCAAGGTGCACCTAGCCTGGCACTGCCCCCAGTCACCTCAAGGTGCACCTAGCCTGGCACTGCCCCAGTAGCCTCAAGGTGCACCTAGCCTGGCACTGCCCAGTAGCCTCAAGGTGCACCTAGCCTGGCACTGCCCCAGTAACCTCAAGGTGCACCTAGCCTGGCACTGCCCAGTAGCCTCAAGGTGCACCTAGCCTGGCACTGCCCCAGTAGCCTCAAGGTGCACCTAGCCTGGCACTGCCCCAGTAGCCTCAAGGTGCACCTAGCCTGGCACTGGCCCCAGTAGCCTCAAGGTGCACCTAGCCTGGCACTGCCCCCAGTAGCCTCAAGGTGCACCTAGCCTGGCACTGCCCCCCAGTAGCCTCAAGGTGCACCTAGCCTGGCACCAGTAGCCTCAAGGTGCACCTAGCCTGGCACTGGCCCCCAGTAGCCTCAAGGTGCACCTAGCCTGGCACTGCCCCCAGTAGCCTCAAGGTGCACCTAGCCTGGCACTGCCCAGTAGCCTCAAGGTGCACCTAGCCTGGCACTGCCCCCAGTATCCTCACGGTGCACCTAGCCTGGCACCGCCCCCAGTAGTCTCAAGGTGCACCTAGCCTGGCACTGCCCCCAGTAACCTCAAGGTGCACCTAGCCTGGCACTGACCCAGTAACCTCAAGGTGCACCTAGCCTGGCACTGCCAGGTAGCCTCAAGGTGCACCTAGCCTGGCACTGCCCCCAGTAGCCTCAAGGTGCACCTAGCCTGGCACTGCCCCCAGTAGCCTCAAGGTGCACCTAGCCTGGCACTGTCCAGTAGCCTCCTCAAGGTGCACCTAGCCTGGCACTGACCCAGTAGCCTCAAGGTGCACCTAGCCTGGCACTGCCCAGTAGCCTCCTCAAGGTGCACCTAGCCTGGCACTGCCCCCAGTAGCCTCAAGGTGCACCTAGCCTGGCACCAGTAGCCTCCTCAAGGTGCACCTAGCCTGGCACCGTTCTGCCTGATAGACTTTGTAATCAATGTGCTACTACAATGACGACGACGATCGTTTACAGCGATTTCAAACATTTTGTTTTGGAGGGGGAGGGGGCAGAGCTTTATGACGTCATTTGAGTGGGTGTTGACTCTTTGTGACGTCGCGTGACGATGGGGGTGACGTCATTCACGGCGGCCTCGCTCACGGCCACCAACTCCGCTTCACAGCGCTGCTGGGCCTCCCCTAGGTCGACTCAGCCTCAACTGAGTAGCTGCTGTAGCGGTGGTGGTGGTGTAGTGGTGGTGGTGGTGTAGTGGTGGTGGTGTAGTGATGGTGGTGTAGCGGTGGTGGTGGTGTAGTGGTGGTGGTGGTGGTGTAGTGGTGGTGTAGTGGTGGTGTAGTGGTGGTGGTGTAGCGGTGGTGGTGTAGTGGTGGTGGTGGTGTAGTGATGGTGGTGGTGTAGTGGTGGTGGTGTAGTGATGGTGGTGTAGCGGTGGTGGTGGTGTAGCGGTGGTGGTGGTGTAGTGGTGGTGGTGTAGTGGTGGTGGTGGTGTAGCGGTGGTGGTGGTGTAGTGGTGGTGGTGGTGTAGTGGTGGTGGTGTAGTGGTGGTGGTGTGGTGTAGTGGTGGTGGTGTAGTGGTGGTGGTGTGGTGTAGTGGTGGTGGTGTAGCGGTGGTGGTGGTGTAGTGGTGGTGTAGTAGTGATGGTGGTGGTGTAGCGGTGGTGGTGGTGTAGTAGTTGTGGTGGTGTAGTGGTGGTGGTGTGGTGGTGTAGTGGTGGTGGTGTCGCGGTGGTGGTGGTGTAGTGGTGGTGGTGTAGTGGTGTAGTGGTGGTGTAGCAGTGGTGTAGTAGTGGTGGTGTAGTAGTAGTGGTGGTGTAGTGGTGTAGTGGTGGTGGTGTAGCGGTGGTGGTGTAGTGGTGGTGTAGCGGTGGTGGTGGTGTAGCGGTGGTGTAGTGGTGGTGTAGCGGTGGTGGTGCAGTGGTGGTGGTGTAGCGGTGGTGGTGGTGTAGTGGTGGTGGTGCAGTGGTGGTGGTGCAGTGGTGGTGGTGCAGTGGTGGTGGTGTAGTGGTGTAGCGGTGGTGTAGAGGTGGTGGTGGTGTAGCCACTGCACCACCACTACACCACCACCACCACCCACACACTCTCCCACTCACCCTCCCCACACTCACTCACTCACCCACTCACTCACTCACCCACTCACCCACTAATTCACTCACCCACTAATTCACTCACCCACTCACCCTCCCCCCCACTCACTCACCCATCCACTCACCCACTAACTCACTCACCCATTCACTCACCCACTAACTCACTCACCCATTCACTCACCCACTAACTCACCCACTCACTCACTCACCCACTCACCCACCCACCCACTCACTCACCCACCCACTCACTCACCCACTGACTCAGCCACCCACCCTATCACCCACCCATTCACTGACCCACCCACTCACCCACCCACCCACTGACTCAGCCACCCACCCATCCACTCACCCACTAACTCACTCACCCACTAACTCACCCACCCACTCACTCACTCACCCTCCCCACACTCACCCACTCACCCACCCACCCACTCACTCACCCACTCACTGACTCAGCCACCCACCCTATCACCCACCCATTCACTCACCCACTCGCCCAACCACCCAATCATATTAACAGACATCCAACACTAAGGTGCTGAAAAAATGCTTTAGGTGAACCGTATTCCCTATATACACAACATACACAACAAGCCTTAATCACCATCATTGCCGTAATTACACATTATTTGCAGGAAGCTATAACCGTGCTAGTAGTGTCAATGCCACAAATTAACTGTGAGTGTGATGTATGCACACGCGTGTTAAGCTGATGTGCCCACTGACCATCGACTAGTCATCTGTAAGATGCGCCTGCCATTCTTCCACTCCGGTGGTGGGTGTACACCCAGGACCCCATTGAAACCTAAAGCGGCCTGGTCTCCGTTATCTGATGAAAGTTGCAAGCGAGAATTTCATCGCCGCTTGCGGCTGGGGTTGGCATCGTCCCCCGACTCCTCCTGATGTCGAGGGTAAATGGGCGAGGGTTTAGGACTGTGACTCATGCAGCTGCAATGGCTGCTTCGGGGCATCTGCTCAAGGAAAATTCCCCCCGTAGTCGGAGGGACGTGGCACAGGAGGACGTGGAGCTGAGTGGACTTGCCGATGACTGGTACCAGCGGTGTCAAGATCGGCCTCTGTGGAGGAGGCTCGTGAAGGACGCTGCTGCTACTGGGCAGTGCCAGGCTAAGGTGCACCTTGAGGCTACTGGGCAGTTGGAGGCAGTCGCCCTCCAACAACAACGGAGGGCGGAGGAGCGACGCTCACAACAACGAGCGGAGCGCCGGGTGGCTAAAGCACAGCAGGTTGGCACAGTAGGGGGCACAGGTGGTGCATCAGCCAGTCATCTCAGTCAGTCGACCCGTGGCACCTGGGTCTGCCCCGTGACCTCCTGCCAGCGGGCGTTCGACACTTCACGTGGCCTCAGGGTGCACATAGCCTGGCACAAGCGTCGTGGTGACGTCACCGCCACTTAGTGGCGAATGGCGGTTGTTGTTGTGTGTGTCAGTGTGTGTGTGTGTGTCTGTGTGTCTGTGTGTGTGTCTGTGTGTGTGCGTCTGTGTGTGTCTGTCTATGTGTGTCTGAGTGTCTATGTGTGTGTCTGAGTGTCTATGTGTGTGTCTGAGTGTCTATGTGTGTGTCTGAGTGTCTATGTGTGTGTGTCTATGTGTGTGTGTGTCTGTGTGTGTGTGTGCCTGTGTGTGTCTATGTGTCTGTGTGTGTCTGTGTTTGTGTGTGTGTCTGTGTGTGTGTGTGTGTCTGTGTGTCTGTGTGTGTGTGTGCCTGTGTGTGTCTATGTGTCTGTGTGTGTCTATGTGTCTGTGTGTGTGTGTCTGTGTGTGTGTGTCTCTGTGTCTGTGTGTGCGTCTGTGTGTGCGTGTCTATGTGTGTGTGTCTATGTGTGTCTGTGTGTGTATGTGTGTCTGTGTGTGTGATTCATGCTCGCGACCGATACACCGCCACAACAACGGGAGACTACCCTAGTGAAGCCGCGAGAAGCTTCCCCCTTGGTGTTTGCTGGACGCAAAGATTCGTGGGATCTCAACCACGCGATCACTTCGCCTCGCCACGCGATCACTTTGCCTCGCCACGCGATCACTTCGCCTCGCCACGTGATCACTTCGCCTCGCCACGCGATCACTTCGCCTCGCCACGCGATCACTTCGCCTCGCCACGCGATCACTTCGCCTCGCCACGTGATCACTTCGCCTCGCCACGCGATCACTTCGCCTCGCCACGCGATCACTTTGCCTCGCCACGCGATCACTTCGCCTTCGCCACGCGATCACTTCGCCTCGCCACGCGATCACTTCGCCTCGCCACGCGATCACTTCGCCTTCGCCACCCGATCACTTTGCCTCGCCACGCGATCACTTCGCCTCGCCACGCGATCACTTTGCCTCGCCACGCGATCACTTCGCCTTCGCCACGCGATCACTTTGCCTTCGCCACGCGATCACTTCGCCTCGCCACGCGATCACTTCGCCTCGCCACGCGATCACTTCGCCTTCGCCACCCGATCACTTTGCCTCGCCACGCGATCACTTTGCCTTCGCCACGCGATCACTTCGCCTCGCCACGCGATCACTTTGCCTTCGCCACGCGATCACTTTGCCTTCGCCACGCGATCACTTTGCCTTCGCCACCCGATCACTTTGCCTTCGCCACGCGATCACTTTGCCTCGCCACGCGATCACTTTGCCTTCGCCACGCGATCACTTCGCCTCGCCACGCGATCACTTTGCCTTCGCCACGCGATCACTTTGCCTTCGCCACGCGATCACTTTGCCTTCGCCACGTGATCACTTTGCCTTCGCCACCCGATCACTTCGCCTTCGCCACGCGATCACTTTGCCTTCGCCACGCGATCACTTCGCCTCGCCACGCGATCACTTTGCCTTCGCCACGCGATCACTTTGCCTTCGCCACGCGATCACTTTGCCCTCGCCACGCGATCACTTTGCCTTCGCCACGCGATCACTTTGCCTTCGCCACGCGATCACTTTGCCCTCGCCACGCGATCACTTTGCCTTCGCCACGCGATCACTTTGCCTTCGCCACGCGATCACTTCGCCTCGCCACGCGATCACTTCGCCTCGCCACGCGATCACTTCGCCTCGCCACCCGATCACTTTGCCTCGCCACGCGATCACTTCGCCTCGCCACGCGATCACTTTGCCTTCGCCACGCGATCACTTTGCCTCGCCACGCGATGACGAATCTTCGTGATGCGGCCCTGCCCCAAAGTCGCCCAGTAGACAATTCGATATTCGTGACGAACAATCTTAAGCAGCAGCAGCAGGAGCAGCAGCGGTAGTAGTAGTAGTAGGAGCAGCAGTAGTAGTAGTAGCAGTAGTAGGAGCAGCAGCGGTAGTAGTAGGAGCAGCAGTAGTAGTAGCAGTAGTAGTAGCAGTAGTAGTACCAGTAGTAGGAGCAGCAGCGGTAGTAGTAGTAGTAGCGGTAGTAGTAGTAGTAGCAGCGGTAGTAGTAGTAGCGGTAGTAGTAGCGGTAGTAGTAGTAGTAGTAGCGGTAGTAGTAGTAGGAGCAGCAGCGGTAGTAGTAGTAGTAGTAGCGGTAGTAGTAGCGGTAGTAGTAGTAGCGGTAGTAGTAGTAGCGGTAGTAGTAGCGGTAGTAGCAGTAGTAGTAGCGGTAGTAGTAGTAGGAGCAGCAGCGGTAGTAGAAGTAGTAGTAGCGGTAGTAGTAGCGGTAGTAGTAGTAGCGGTAGTAGTAGTAGCGGTAGTAGTAGCGGTAGTAGTAGGAGCAGCAGCGGTAGTAGTAGTAGCAGCGGTAGTAGTAGTAGCGGTAGTAGTAGTAGTAGCGGTAGTAGTAGTAGCGGTAGTAGTAGTAGTAGCGGTAGTAGTAGTAGTAGCGGTAGTAATAGTAGCGGTAGTAGGAGCAGCAGCGGTAGTAGCAGCGGTAGTAGCGGTAGTAGTAGTAGCGGTAGTAGTAGTAGTAGCGGTAGTAGTAGTAGTAGCGGTAGTAGTAGTAGCGGTAGTAGTAGTAGTAGCGGTAGTAGGAGTAGTAGTGGTAGTAGTAGTAGCGGTAGTAGTAATAGTAGCGATAGTAGTAGTAGTAGCGGTAGTAGTAATA